GGGGGGGGCAGACCCAGCCCTCAGCACAGGCCGGGCAACTGAATTGTCCACACGTGTCCATTTATTTCAATGTCCCTATTCTGGGGTCATTATGATTTTCATAGTGAAGTTCATCCCGGACGCTCTCAAATACGAACACGTTCAGTAATGCCGTCTATAACGCGAGAAACCGAAAAGACCTTAAAGGTCTGACGTTAAGGGAAAGAGTAAGAAAACCACAGCAGATCTGCGAACGGAACTGACACTGACAGTTTACGCGGCACCTGAGAAAATGGCATACGGTGCAAAGTGCAAAACACACACGTGTTGGTGGGAAAGACCTACTAAAGTCCGCGAAAAACTCAAAGGAGCTCTGGTTGCGTGTTGTTTTTCTTTCAACAAGCTTTCTCTGACGAGTGCGAGGACCCCCAAGGCGGAAGCCTCAGTGCTGACTCCGCCAGGTCGCCAGCCAGCCCCAGATGCTGCCGCCACCCATCTCCTACGAAGTCTCCACACGGCGGCCGCCCACAGGGCTCCGGCCTCACCCTAGCGGTGAGTCGGGGAGCAAGGGACACCTCCCTCCAGAGAAGGACGGGTGGCGGGGACAGTCACACACCAGACACCAGCTTTCAGGCACAAACGTCTTGCTTTCCACTCGGCCCTGACGGGGCCGCAAGAAGATGACGCACGTGTGTGCGGGCCTCTCGCGCTGCTCCCCCCCCCCCCCCCCCCCCCCCCCCCCCCACCAACCCCCCGCTTGCTTCTCACCTGCTCTGGGACTGAGCACCGAGCAGCTTATCAGGCACCGGTCCTTGAGGCTGAGTAGCTGCCGACAAGTCCTGTGCTCTGAGCCGTCAGGCCTGTCCCGTCGGCCGCCGGTCCTTGCCAAGTCCTTCAAGCTCCACCTTTCCGCCAGGCCACCGGTGAGGTCCACCAGGGCATCCGCCACCTGCCCGGCCCACAGGTGCTCATAGGACCCATAGACCCTAGGGAGACAACCGCAGCCAGTGAGCCTCTGGCCCAGGTACCCTGCCCCTTCCATCCCCACACCCAACACCCCCAGATCACCTCGCCCACCACTTCAATTGCTTCTCTTTACTCCTGCCTCATTCTCATCAAGTCCAGGCATCACCTGACCCTCAAAGGCTGTAACGCACAGCAGCCCAGCAATGTCCTGCCGCCTCCAGGGCAGATATCAGCATGAGGCGGTGCGGGGCGCAAGCCTGTGAACACCCGCTCCTTGCCTCGCGAGATCAAACCCCACACTGGCCAGGGGATGGAGGGACTCACTCGCACCAATATCACTGCAGGCCTTCCTCGCTCCCTTAGGGCTAAGGCCTATCGGTGCAGCCTCTTTGGGCAAGCTGATGTGTGCATCCTAAGAGGAGGCTTCTTCGATTCAGACCCCGGGTGAGGGTCGTGGTCTCAGGCAGGACCAGGCTAAACAAGCAGTGCGACCTGGGTGGCCTCCCACCTCCCACCATTTCCAGGGGAGGGAAACGCACACCCTCTCCCTCTGGAGGCGATGCCTTCGTGCCCGACTTTGAGATGAGTGTGGAGAAAGGGGGAGCGGGCCGGGGATGGGGCAAACCACAGGCCGAGTCTCAGAGTTTCTGTCTCTGGACAAGTCAGTCCCCACGCCATCCTGGCTGTCAGGTCCCTGGAACGGAGGAGGACACTGCAGCCCAGGGAGAGCGGGGGCGTGCTTCCCGGGGGCGGACTCAGGCCGCTGTGGCTCCCTGCCCACCCCGACCCTCCAGCCTCCGGCACGCGTACTTGGCGTAGACCTTCTCCAGTAAGGGAAGCCAGAACACATCCTCTCTCTGGCACCGGGAGAAGCAGAGTCTCCCTGCAAGACAAGGCAGACGGTCATCTATGGTCACCTCCACCCAGCGTCCAAACCGCCAAACTCGACAGGTAAAGGAGCCGCGGTACGTTGGGTCGAGCCAGCTCGGCTGTCCTGGAGGAATGACCTACCGTGCACAGGGAAAGGCAAAAGGAGACCGTGAGAGGCAACGCATGCAGCGCCCTCCAAGCACCTTCATGAGAGCCGTTCCAGGGGACCCTGCCGGTCTGCGGAAACCTAATCATCCCACGGAAAGCTAACCGACTTTTCAATGTACATATCTCGGGGCCACACTGAGGGAGCCGAGTGTCTCCAGAAGCTTAAAGCCAACCATTATGTCCTATTGTCCCAAATAAGCACTCGACCTGAATCCAAAACAAACGTGACTTTTACAGGCACGAGTGACCCAATTTTCAGCACAGCCGGTGGCAGACGGCAGGTCACCGTGGGCACAGCAACCCCCCGGCTGGAGGCTGGTGCCTCGGGATCCGGGCCAGCCCATCCACTGCTGGCTCTGGTGCTGGGACCCCACAGGTGTGGGCTTTGCCCCCGACACACTTGTCTGGTCCTGCCTCTGCCCCTCAGCGGCTACAAACACGAAAGCAGTGGTTTTCGCGCTCTCACTTATGAACCGGGGTCAAAGCCAGAGAGGCCCGGAGAACAAATGCCAGCAACTGTGGTGTGCTTAGCAAGGCCTGGGGACCCGGGAGGAGCTCTGGATGGGTCACCACTGTCAGCCTTGCTGCATTAATCAGTAACATTCTAGCGACGAGCCAAACAAAGAGCTGTGGTGCTCCTGGGGGAGCACTCTGAGCAGCCCTCCTACACCTGTGCTAGCCGCCCAGCCTCGGAAACCACTTTAATCACCTTTTGCCAATTTACATTCAAAGCTTGTTTAAAAAACAACAACAGCAACCAGCTAGAAAAACTTACTCCAAACCCGGGGCATTCCTACTCTGGGCTGGCCTGCTCATCTGTGCATCCCTCCAAGGGTGTCGGAGGGCAGAGCAGGGCAGAAAGCACCGGGGAGCCCTGGTGAGAGGGGGACACGGTGTCTGTGCCTTGGAGCCCCTGGGGCCTGTGAGCAGAGCCCTCCCTTTCCACCAGCCATGCTGGGCGACCTCAGCAGAGCCCCGTAGAACAGGAGGTTCGGCTGCCTCGCCTCCCGCTTCCTTCCTGTGCGCAGCAGACAGGAAGACAGAGCAGAAGAGAAACACGCTCGGACGCAGGTACCTGGTCCAGGAGGCGCCGGCTCTTCTGCAGGGCAGCACAGGCGCACAGGAGCCAGCAGTCTCCCAGCAGCCCTTGCTTCACCTGTCCTTCCTGTGGGTTATCTGCAAACAGCCGGGGTGTGGCACAGATCTCCTGAAATAAAGAGTTCACCTCGTCTGAAGGCTAGTCTTTAAAACGAAGAACACGGGATCTAGGCGACAGGCGCTGGGGAGGAGCTCTTCTGGTCATCCGCATTGCCCAAGAGGGGAGGGGAAGCAGCTGGCCTCCGCGGCCTCCATCTGTCAGCCCTCCTGGCTTCACATCATCCCATCTGGCTTAGGTTCTAGGGTCCTCTTCTCTGTCTACCTTTGTTAAGTGGCAAAACCCCAGCTCGGGATGGATCCCACGTCCCCCTTCTCCAAACAGCTAACTGTTGGCCTAGAAAACGGTTTCACTTAAGTCCACACTGGCAGATCGCAAATGGGTCCTCCATACTGCTGGAAACCGAAACCCTTCTCTCCAAGGCTTAATTGCCCACTCCCCAGACTACTTTATTCCCTCTTCTCAACACTGCTACACTGCCCCCCTCTTGCCTGCGCCCCTCTGAGCTGATGACCTTGCCGGAAGCTTCATCAGAAGCAACCTGACCTGACCCCCTCTTGTCTTCAGAGCCTGGGTTCCTCCCATGACCCCCCCCTTTCACCCCTACAGGCAGAATCCCACCAGCAGAAGATGGAGAGAGAACCCCCGTCCTCTCTAACAGACCATCCCCCCTGCATTAGCTCCCCTTGAGGCTTCCCTTCACTGGCAGACTTCTTGAAACAGATCATTACTTCCTCCTCCCTCAGCATAGGCCCCTCTAGCCTCTGAGCCGGTCACCTCTGTGTGGTCAAATCCAGCAGGCATCTCTCTGTTCTCATCTTTCCTGGCACCTGCAGGCATCAGAACAGTGGCTGAGCCCCTGCACTTCCCCACAGTCCCCTCTTGGCTCCCAGGGTTCCATGTGTCCCCGCTTGTCCTTTTCTCTCACTGCCGGCTGCTTCTCGTGGCTACCTGCCAGGGCACCTGCTTGGACACCCCCGGAAGTGTGAGGGTCCCTCAGGGCTCAGTTCCAAGCCCTCTCTTTTTCTCCAGCCCCACTTTCTCCTGAGACACTCTTCAGGGCCCTGAGCCCTGGGACAGTGCCCATTCCCAGAGGGAACCTCTAGCCCAGAACTTCCTGCGTGCCCGACTCTCATGCCCACCTGCCTCTGACAGCTCTGTTTGCACCTGAGAGAGCAAAACCCAACCCGAGAGTTCCATCCCTAGCTCTCCCCCACCTCCCCGTGTCGCCTAGCACATCACCCAGGTGCTCAGTCTCGAAGTCTAGAAGTCATTCCTGAGCTTGGCTTTATCCTCACCCTCCACTTCCAGTTGGTCAGTAAAACCTGTTAATCCCCCTCCAAAGTACTTCTCAAACCCACCCACTCTGAAGCCATCCTAGGTGGCCATGCTACCAGGAGCATCACTACTGAGATGGCCGCCTGCTTGCTTGCCGGGTCAATCCACCGCCCGGCCAGCAGTAAAAGTGAGCTTCTTCAAACATAAACCCACTCAAATCGCTCCTCTGCTAAAACCCCCAATGGCCTTCCAAGGTGCCTAGAATCCATTTTTAACCCGAATTCCATTGGGATGGCCTGTAAGGCTCTTCATGCTTTGGCCCTCCCGTCCTTCCACACCAAACGGGCACTTTCCGTGTTGCCCAAATGCCTCAGTCGCCAGACCCAAGCTGCTCTGGCTTTGAGGGCTGCTGGCCATGCAGGCTGTGTCTGTGCAGACGGGGGAGGGTCGTACCTGAGAAGTCTTACTGGGCAGATACACTGTTTCTAAGGATTATCAACAGAGCACTGGGCCGGAGCATCCCCGCAAACTGCCACCTTAAAGCGTTTACATCTGAAAATGCAGGTGCGTGAAGCCCTAAACAACTTTGCTTCGTAGGCTCAGTCTGGCCCTTCCAGAAGACCACAGGCGTAGCAGATACCAGCAAACACAAGTAACGGGGCAGGCCCGCTGGCGGCCAGGAGGGCCGTGCACACCAGAAGCTAAGTGCGGTCAGGCGCCCGTCGGGGCAGAAGCGGGGATGGGTTTGTGGGCCCCGTCGCCGGGCCCCGAGCCTCCTCCGGAACCAAGTTCTCACAGGCGCGGGCCAGGCGCTGGTCCTCCCGCACAGCCGGGACGGGCCTGGCACGGAGCTACGAGGGGCTCCCTCCCGACGGACCACCCTCCCCGTTTCTGGGACAGACGCGGCAGACGCGGCCACCCCTCCCGCCGCGCACGGCGCGGGAGGCTGCGCCCGGGGCCCGGCCCTCGGCTCGAGAGCCGCGCCAGGGGCCGCACCTGGGGCCTCCTCCACGTGATGTCCTCCCGGAACTGGGCCAGCGGCGTGGAGAAGCTGGAAAACAGTGAGGAGTCCGAGGCGGGGAAGTCGGCGTCTCGGAACAGCTCCCTGGCCGGCGCCCGCATCCTGGGCGCTCGGGGCTCCCACTGACAGCCCGGAAGGTGGGCGAGGCCCGGCGCGCGCCCGTCCGGTCGCCGCGGTAACCGCCGGGCCACGTGACACAGCGGCCCAATCGCACTCGAGCGGCGGAAGTCCAAACGGATTCCCAGTAGCCCACCCTCGGGGGCGTGGCTCCCGAGCTCGGCTCTCGCGAGACTGTGCCATCGCCGTGCGGCACTTTTCTTTCCCCGGGAGGTGTGTGCGAACTCGCCCGGCGGAGACTCACGGGAGGCTGACGGGCTTCGTGTCCTCTGGCCGGTGCAGCTCGGGCTGGGGCGTCGGGGCCGCTTGGACTCGCGGGCGTTCGGGGCTTAAGGGACCGGAGAGGCCTCTTGGGCCGAGGTCCGGGCCGCGGACTACAGATCCCAGAATGCAGCACCGCCTCCCAGAATGCGCCGCTCGTCCCGGCGCTCGGCGGCAGGTCGGGCCGCCTGCTGGCGGAAGGATCCGGGAAGCGAGCGCAGCGGCTCCCTTGGGAAGGCAGCGGTGGGCCGCGGTGGGCCGCGGTGGTGTGCTCCCGGCGCCAAGCCGGCCCGTGGAGCGGGGGGACGGGGGTCCTCCGAGCCTAGGAGGCCGTCTCGAGGCCGTCTGGGATCGGACGCGCTGGATCCTGAGCGGGACAGGGGATGGGACTGCGGCAGATGACCGGGCATCTGGTCCTGGTGGGCTGGACAGTGAGTGACCTGCTGGACGTGCGGTTATAGCTCCTGGCCGCTCGGTGCTGCGGGGAGGCGAGGACGGCGATTCAGGGACCTGCCTAAGCATTCACCTTTGCTGCAGGTGCCTGTACTTCCCCATTCCCGGGAAGGAGGGAGAGCGGCCAGAGGCTTGTTGTCTGCCTGCCCCTCCAAGCCTGCTTCACTGTGTCTGGCGCCTTCGCAGAGGGTCGGGCAGGGGAGGAGAAGGCGGCCTGAGCCCTTCTCGTGGCAGCTCTGTGCCACCTCCTAGGGTTAGTCAGATCTTGCATTCCCAGACTCTCTCCCAGCCCCCTGGACATGAACGGTGGTCAGATTGAAGCCCTTCTGCAGACCTGGAAAGTCCCTACTGCCCGAGAACAAACCGAACCTGGTCCCGGAGCCTCTGCCCCAGGTTCCTCTGACAGCTGCAGCTCCTCCCTCTGAGAGGCCAAGAAGGGCCTGCATGAGTGGCAGCTGCTGGTGGTAGTGTGACATTGTGTTAGCCCTAGCCCCCAGGCTATTTGGGGGGGCCTCGGATATTCCTGTTGCGGTTCTGGAAGAAAACTACATAGCCCAACACCTGCCTCTGGGATGCTAGGACTTATGGCATGGCCATTCAGCATCCCTGTGGCAGTAACTCCCCCAGAAGATGCTAATGACTCCTTGGCAGGCTGGTGGCTGCTGTGGCTGGAGGGAATCCGTAAAGGCCCCGGGCTCTGCTTCTTGTAGGGATCCTGAAGGAGGAAGAGACAGATTTCCTACCTGCCCTAGGGTGCCGGACAACTCCTCTCCCCAGGTAACACATGGGGGTGGTTAGCGGCAGAACCGAGGCCAGCCCAGGATCTGGACTCTACGTAGCGGCCTTTGCTGTGTCACTCACCCTGGCTCGTGAGGCCTGGAGAGCAGGCGGCCTCCTACAGACGTGTCATCGCCCAGGGGTGGGCCTGTGCCCAGAGAAGTGGCCCGGAGACAGGTGGTGCTGGGTAGGCATTAGCCCAGGCCCGGAGTGACAGGTGAGTGGCCAGTACCGAGATGGTCTGAGGCCTGCCTGCCGCGGCTCCTACACCACCGTTACCCCGTGTGTCCCGTGTTCCCCTCTGCCGCTTGGGCCCACCCGCAGCCCTGTGCAGAGTGGGGCCTGTGGCTCCTGGAGTATTAATAGGAGTTGGAGGCAGCCTGAGGGGTGTGACAAGAAGGTGTTCTGGAGGCAGCTAGTTCATGACCCCCAGTTCCCACAACCACAGGCCCTACGACAGACAGTTAGTTATTTGAAGTGTGGGCCTCGGGGTTGTCACTGTCAGGTGGGAATGCCACCCTATGTCACAGTGCTGTTTGGAGGTTACAGGAGAATGAAGGTAAAGGTCCCCCAGCCGTCAGGCAGGACCAGCCTCCCTGCTGACCACCTCCCAGCCCCGTGGACGGCGCACGTCTAGCCATTTCCTTTCCCAAGCCTGTGGGTGTTCACGGGTTCTGTGGAACCTGAAACCTGCCTGCTCCCCTCCACCCTCCCCGGGTTATCACTGCTCTGGAGTGTTTGTGCTCCGTGGCTTTGCTCACACTTGTGCCTGGATGACCGTCCTTGTTGTTTTTCAAGGGACGTTCCCTGGCTTCGCAGCTGGGGTTGGGGGTTGTCTCTTCGAACCCCCGCAGCTCTTCTGGTCAGCGGGCAACAACCGGGCACTGCATTCTCATGTGGACACAGAGATTAAAACCAGTGTCCTGCCCACACTTCACCCAGGGTGGGGGAGGGCAGGCCGAGGTGTCCCAGGGGAAGGGACAGCTGGTGACAGCTGGGCCGAGGCTGCAGCCCTGGGCTGGCAACGTGCCACATCCCGTCAGTATCCACCGTGTGGCTGACCCTGCCTCACCAGCAGGAGGCCAGCTCACTTGCTGTTGAAGTCATCCAGGGACTCAGGGTCAGAAGTTAGAAAGGGGTGTGCGCCCCAACTCAGGGCAACGGGACATGGGGAACAACCCTGTGGGGGGACGCTGGAGCTGTCTCCAAGCTTCCCAAGGGCACACGATGGCATGTTCTCCTGTAACCCGCCTTGGATGCCCGAGTGTGGGAATGTGGGAACAGAAACTGCTGCGGCCAGCTGGTGACCACAAGGGACAAGCCGGAAGACAAAGGCCAGCGTTACGGAGACTCCAGAGCAGAAGGATGAAGGACCTGCTGACGTCCCTGAGCTCCTGAACTTGTTGGTGCTAGAATGGTCCACTTTGGGATTTCTGGTCATAGGTTGTAAATGCAGTTTTATTGTTTGAGTAAATTTTGAATCGGATCTTTTGTTGAAGCATAACTGACCTTGTGCAGAGACCTCTGTTAATTATCCACTGCTGTGTGTCCGATGACCCCCAAAAGTTAGGAACTTAAAACGATACGTATTATGTCACAGTTTCTGTGGGTTAGGAATGTGGCAGCCGCTCCCGTGGGTGGTTCTGGCTGACGGTCTCTGAGGAGATAGCGGTCAAAATATTGGCCAGAACCGAAGTCCTCTGGAGGTTGGCTGGGCCTGGAGGCCTCAGTTCCTCGTGTGGACCTTCACGAAGCTACTTGGGTGTCCTCACATCATGGCGGCTGGGTTCTCCCAGAGCAAGCGACCCAAGGGAAAGGAGGGTGGAAGCTGCGGTGTTTCACGACCCAGCTCAGGTGTCCTGCTCCATCGCTCCCACAACACTCCTTTCGCTGGGAGCGAGTCACCCAGTGCAGCCCATACACCAGGGGAGGAGCATCAGAGAGTCTGCGGACGAGAGTTAAGCCCCCCGAGGGGTGAGATGAGAGTGGGGCGTGCGTGGGAAACGGATGAGCAGTTGGGGAGCCCGGGCCCTGGCGTGGTCCAGAGGCACTTTAAGGGATCGTGCCCTGTGCAGTGGGCCCAGGAGGAGGTCCTCGAGGCTAGGGTGGGAGAGTGAGCCCGGAGGCCCAGGGTTTGAACCAGCGATGGAGAAGGAGATTTAGTTTCTTTGAAGGTGCTTGGTGACTAGTCACATGAGTCAGAAAGAGGGAGGGTGCCCCGGGCCCTGTGGAATCGGAGGGACTAGCTTCATGCCCTGCCGGTTTAGGAAGCTCCTGGAACTCCCAGCAAAAGAACAGTCTTTGTTCAGGGACCAGCCTTGACGCGGACTTGGGCCAGGCACGTTCTCAGTTACACTGGCGGGTCTGAATGGCAGGGCAGTTTCTGGCCCACAGAACTGTGGGCCCTGCTTCCCACCCCCAGCAGCCAGAGAGGGGCCTAAGGTCCTGATCCTGTGGGCAACTCTTTCTCTCCGGGAGTCTCCAAATGAGGGAGGGCGTAGGGGCGAGGTCCCCCAGCCTGCAGGGGCCGCCTCCACCGTGCTTGTCCCAGAGCCACCTGCCCTCAGAACACTGCGGGATGGCAGGGGCCCGGGCCACCATCCCAGCAGGTCCAGGGGCCCAGAGCCTGGACCCCTCTGGAGTCACCTGGGCAAGGATTCTCCTCGCTGCTCTTGGCCACAAACCCTGTGGTACAGAGGGCCCCGGGTGGTTGTGGGGATTAGGTGAGGAAACGCAAAGTGCGTGGCTGGTTCCGGGTTAAGGGGGGGTGGTCAGTGAGGGTCACGGTCCCGGGCTGTGGGGGTGGTCAGCGGGGGCCACAAATACGGGCTGCTTCTTTGGGCACGTCCAGGGTGGTGTGGGCGTCGGCCCCTAGAAGCCCAAGTCTCTCCCAGGCCAGGCTGGAACAGGGCCGCTCTGCCTTGCCCGGCTCGCGGTCAGTTCTCCAAGAGGAGTGGGTTCCGCCTCCAAGGGCTCGAAGGGTCCAACTCCTTTGAAACACTCTGTGTTGAGCTTGCGTGGTCCTCGCACACCCCAAAGGGAGAAGGCGACAGCCCAGGGGTGCATTGCTATAGCGGGGACACCGCCAGCACCCCAGACCAGGCCGACCTTGCCCACTGCGCTGTCTGCGACGGAGGAATGGATTCTTTTCAGGTGATGTTTTAGATAACATTTCTAAAATAATAATACAAGGGGTGCCTGGGTGGTTCAGTCGGTTAAGTGTCCGACTTCGGCTCAGGTCATGATCTTGCAGTCCGTGAGTTCAAGCCCCGCGTCCGGCTCGGTGCTGACAACTCAGAGCCTGGAGCCTGTTTCAGATTCTGTGTCGCCCTCTCTCTGACCCTCCCCCATTCATGCTCTGTCTCTCTCTGTCTCAAAAATAAATAAACGTTAAAAAAAAATTTAAAAAAAAATAATAATACAAGCTCCTAATAGGACCCTCCCCCCCCCCAACCTATTGCTCCCAAGTGGCCCTAGGGGTCATGTGCATGATGATCATTTCCACAGT